GGGGGGGGTATCACGTGAGCCCAGGAATTTGAGGTTACTGTGAGCTTTGATGACACCATTGCACTTAGGGCAACAGACTGAGACACCTGTTCCCCACCCTCAAAAAATAAAATCTAGAATAGGCAAATTCATAGGGATAAAAAATAGATTAGAGGGCGGTGCCTGTGGCTCAGTGAGTAGGGCACTGGCCCCATATGCCAAGGGTGGTGGGTTCAAACCCCGTCCTGGCCAAACTGCAACAAAAAAAGTAGCCAGGCCTTATGGCGGGCGCCTGTAGTCCCAGCTACTCGGGAGGCTGAGGCAAGAGAATGGCCTAAACCCAGGAGTTGGAGGTTGCTGTGAGCTGTAACACTACAGCACTCTACCAAGGGCAATAAAGAGAAACTCTGTCTCTTAAAAAAAAGATTAGAAGTTGCCAGGGGCTGGGGAAGAGAAGGATGGGAAATTATTGCTTAATGGGTACAGAGTTCATTTTGAGGGTGATGAAAAAGTTTTGGAAACAGATAGTGGTGATGGTTGCATAACATCACTAATGTAATTAATGCTGCTGGATTGCACACTTAAAATGGTTTAAAATCAGAATTTTATGTTATACATTTTATCACAGAAAGAATTTTGAAGAAATAAGTGAAAAAAACATTTTTATTGGAGGAAAGAAAAAGCAAGCAGAACTTAGCAATATGTTACATAGTCAAAGATACCAATGAGACCAAAACTATATATATATATATATTTTTTTTTTTTTTTTTTTGAGACAGAGTCACATTTTGTTGCCCCAGTAGACAGCCGTGGCATCACAGCTCACAACAACCTCAAACTCTTGGGCTCAAGTGATTCTTTCGCCTCAGCCTCCCAAGTAGTTGGGACTACATGAGCCCGTCACAACACCTGGCTATTTTTAGGGATGGGGATCTCACTCTTGCTCAGGCTTGTCTCAAACTCCTGAGCTCAAGTGATCCACCCACCTTGGCCTCTCAGAGTGCTAGAATTACAGGCATGAGCCACTGTCCCCAGCTCCAAAACTATATTTCTAAACTTGATGAAATGGAAAACACAAAATATAAAATGTTGCATCTGATGGGGAGGAAGGAGAAAGACACAGAGAAAAACACATAAGTAAATGTTAATATAAATACATGGGCATTAATAGTCCAGTTTGGGGGCTGGGTTCATGAATGTGCATTGCATTATTGTGCATTAATGTAACATTTGCTAAGTATCAAATAACATTTAGAAATATGGAGAATGGTGGCATCACCCGAAGGACCCATAAGAAGGCCCTTTATTCACCAGTTGGATTTGACAGGTAGGTCTGAGCGAGGACCTAAGAACCTGTATTTCACATTTCCATAACTTCTCTCCATCGCTGTATACACACTACAACAGACCACAGCTCTTCCCATCATAAAGGGGAGCCTATTTCTTCTCCCCTCAAATCTGGGATTGGCTCTGTGACTGCTCCACATGAGTAACGAACGTAAGACCAGGATGGACTTGCAGTGCACTTGTGAACTTGGGGCTTGCTTGCTTTTACTGCACCTGAGATCTGGAGGCCTCCTGTGTATGAGCCCACGCTATTCCTCTGTTGCTGGAGAATTAATGAAAGGTCCCTGGCATCCCAGCTGACATCCAGCCCCAAATTCCCAGAAGCCCTGCACTGATGCATGCGTGAGCCCCTGCCAAGATCAACTGAGACTGGCCAGGACCAAAACAACCCCCAGCTAAACCCAGCCCAAACTACTGGCTCACAGAATCCTAAGCTATATAGTAAGACTGCTGCGCCAGTAGTCCCAGCTACTTAGGAGGCTGAGGCAGGAGGATTGCTCCAACCCAGGAGTTTGAGGTTGCTGTGAGCTACGATGCCGCCATAGCATTCTACTATCCAGGGTGACAGAGTGAGACTGTGTCTCAAATACAAAAGAACCTCGTGTATCAGATTTAAACTGTGACCAAGGCAGTGACGCCCAGCAAGGAGGATGAGGAAGACCTTAAAGCCCTGGCTCCGAAAGCTGGAGGGGCCTGAGGCTGAGGAGACATTAAGGCTCTGAGGCTCTTCCCTGCCATGAGTCTCTCCCCTGTGCAGGCCTTCAGTCCCACCGCTGCCAGAGAGGAGCAGACAAAGACCATGTGGGCTGCAGCTGGGAAACACATTAGGAAATAGACCAAGGAACTGCCAGACTGAGCTTTTGGGCAAGGGAGTCCTTGGGTGCCAGCCAGATGAACCATTCACCCTGTCTCATGACAGATCTCTCTAGAAGGAATGGTATTACAATGGGGCTCCGCTTTTGAGCAGTGAGTGCAAAAAGTCTGAGACTTGCATAAACTTGCTAAGCCTTGAAGTGAGCTGCCCTCCACTGAGAAAGCACTGGGATCCTCCCTCGGTGTAGGTGTGAGGCACTGGACTCTAGAGAGCTGTGTTTGTATTTGCCTCTTCTGAGAGGTGCTAGAAAACTCGGTTATCTTCATCCTCCACACATAGCAAGCCAGTGGCAGGAGGTAGAGTTTCAATACATGATTGAAATAAAGAGTGAATAAAAGACCAAATGAATCCGAGTGAACCCTATGCA